TAAAAAACCCCCCTGTGTTCCTTTGTCATTACATTGCTGTGATAATTCATTCTACTATGATTTTAAATAATTCAGACATGACAAAAATATTGGATATTTGTTTTTCTTGATTGTATTTGGTATTTTCTTGCCTGCAGCATCCTAGGAAATCCCCTCATTTGTGGAAGCCACTCTCCTGAAAAATGTCCTGGATCAATTCTTGCTACTCCTCTCTCTTTCCCCATTGATCCATCTTCAGGTAATATAGTCTCTCTCTCTCTCTCTCTCTCTCTCTCTCTCTCTCTCTCTCTCACACACACACACACACACACGCACACACACACAGTTGTAGCAAGTTTCTTGACTATTCATTAATTTCCCTATTATGCATTTGTCAGGCAACAGAACAAACTCCAAGAAACTTGCAATTGCACTTGGAGTGAGCTTTAGCTTCGTCTCCATTTTATTCGTAATTTTCGCATTTCTCTTTTGGAAAAGAAACAAGAAGATAAAGCAGTCCCTTTTGAGTAGTACTGGTCAGTAATCTCACCTCAACTGCATATACATATACATAATATATATGTATATATTCGTATGGGGAGTTCGTAATTTTTCGTAATATGTTACAGATGTTCAAGAAGAGGACCTCGACCTCACGAGGCTCGGGAATCTCCAAAACTTCACATTTAAAGAGCTGCAACACGCTACCGACAATTTTAGCCACAAGAACATACTGGGCACGGGGGGATTTGGCAATGTTTACAGGGGTAAATTGGGAAACGGCAATGTGGTGGCGGTGAAGCGGCTCAAGGATTTGACCGGAACTACAGGCGAATCGCAGTTTCGAACCGAACTAGAGATGATCAGCCTAGCCGTTCACCGGAATTTGCTTCGTATAATCGGATATTGCGCCACCACAAATGAAAGACTTCTTGTATATCCTTATATGTCCAATGGGAGCGTTGCATCGAGACTTAGAGGTATATTCATTTTCTGTACTAAGGCCTCGTTTGGTTGGTAAGATTAGCCATGATTAGTTAAATAATTGGATCATCTTAGAAAAAAACGAATATAATGGGGTTTCCATAAGACTATTTAATCTTATTTTAGAAACCAAACGAATCCCAAGAATCACTCTTTAATTAGGTAGATAAATTTTCGTCACCTGTGATCCTATAGTGGGGCCTACTTCAACTGCAGTAGATACGTTTCAAGATATCGAAAAATTCTTTTCGTGTTATTTCTCATTATGATTGCAATTACTTCATATGTTATGTAAGCATACTTTATTACATGGACTAGATCAAATCGAGGGTAATTTTGTCAATCTTGAAAGATTTTAGTGCTAAATTTACAGGAAAACCGGCTTTAGATTGGAACACGAGGAAGAGAATTGCGATTGGAGCAGCAAGGGGGCTGTTGTATCTTCACGAGCAATGCGATCCGAAGATAATACATCGAGATGTGAAGGCAGCCAATGTACTGCTCGATGACTACTGCGAGGCTGTTGTAGGTGATTTCGGCCTCGCTAAATTACTGGACCACGCGGAATCCCACGTGACGACAGCTGTTCGCGGTACGGTGGGCCACATCGCACCGGAATATCTCTCCACTGGACAGTCGTCCGAGAAAACCGATGTATTTGGATTCGGCATTCTTCTGCTGGAGCTTATAACCGGAATGAGAGCTCTCGAGTTTGGAAAGTCGGTAAACCAAAAAGGAGCTATGCTTGAATGGGTACGTATATATAAATGTGAAACTCGGATTTTGTCTTTGGTGGGGCCCACGTATACGTGAAAAATTATGCGAGGCCCCTTAAAATGGTCGAAAAATAACAA